CTTTACCTACTTCTAGATGTAGCAGGGATACTAATAACCTGCTTTACCTACTTCTAGATGTAGCAGGGATACTAATAACCTGCTTTACCTACTTCTAGATGTAGTAGGGACACTAATAACCTGCTTTCTCTCTCACGATATAAAGTCAAAATATGAGAAACCAACAAATTTTAAAACCTAAATCTAGTGTTTATATCTGTCTGTATCTAACAATATCAAGTCAAAATATGAGAAACCAACAAATTTTAAAACCTAAATCTAGTGCCTGTATCTGTCTCTCTGAACATATTCGTAAATTCTGAAGTTTGATGAGAAAAATGTATTGTTTAATTGTTTCCATACGTACATTCATTAGACAAAAAGCTTATTCTGTGTGTAAGGTATGACGTCATCAAGATCTATAAAGATTATAATTATTCGTAATTTGAAACGGACTGAAAAATTATAGAGCATCTAAACAGATATAGAACATTCATTACTACGTTTCAATGTGTTAAGTCATAAATAATGGTTTAGGGAAAACAGACGTTAGAGAATTACAAAAAATACCCAATTATAATTATGAAATAATTCTTATTAACCTCAAGCAAATATAATCAAACGCACTGTTTATCTTTGAAAGTGGTTGTATACATTCTATCAGAAATTTGATTAATTGAGAAGTCCAATTTCATTCCCTAAACACAAACCACAAACTCGTTTTGTATTTGTTCAGCGATTGTCTCTCGTTTTCGGATCTCAAACACCTGGTTTCCGTCCACAATTACCTCCGCTGAACGGAAGCGAGAGTTATAATTGGATGACATAACTGACCCGTACGCTCCGACAGAGAGAATAGCAAGTACGTCACCCTGCTGGACAGTGAGCCATCGATCACGTGCCAAAAAATCTGTGTTCTCACACACTGGCCCGACGACGTCACAGAGCAAGGGCTTTATGTTTGAATGTTGGTGAGAAGGAAGAATATGGTGATAGCCATCATAAAGAGCCGGTCGGATAAGTTCGGTCAAAGCTGCGTCTACAACAGCGAAGTTTTTCACACTCTTTTTTACATATTCCACACGAGTCAACAGTATTCCGGCATGACCCACAATCGATCTTCCCGGTTCCAGTAGTAGCCTCAGACCACGAGCTGCGACCGGTTTTACGATCTCTTGGACCCAGGATGAAATGTCGGGTTCCGTTTCCCCTTGTCGATAGGCAATACCAATGCCTCCTCCGAGATCGACGTACTCCAGCTTAACACCTAATATTTCTAGGCTGTCCACAAGGTCTACAATACAGTCCCTAGCTTCTAAAAGCGGAGACAGTTCGGTCAGTTGCGATCCTATGGAACAATGTATTCCTTTAGCCTCCAGATAAGGAGAGTGTTTAATTCGTTGATAAAGTTCTTGGACGTCTTCTAACGGAACCCCAAACTTGCTATCTTTAATTCCGGTGGAAACGTAGCGATGAGTCTGGGCGTCAATATCTGGATTGACTCGAACACCTAGCGGTGCCCTACAGTTTAAATTTCGAGATATTTCTTCAGTTCTGTCCAATTCTTCCCACGATTCCACATGAATAGAATATATCTTAGATTCTAAGCTCAGTTCGATTTCCTTTTTGCTTTTCCCCACACCAGAGTACACCACCTGTTCAGGATTTCCCCCCACTGCCAGAACTCTCTGTAGTTCCCCCTCGGAAGCTATGTCGAAACCACAGCCATGTCGATTAAGAAGGTCTAGGATGGACAAGCTGTAGTTTGTCTTCACTGGATAGCATATAAGGTAACGATGTGAGTTCAACGCCCTCTGGTATTTGAATAACGAATCGAGAATTTTCTTTTTGGAATACACATAAACTGGTGTTCCAAAATTTTGGGCAATTTCTTCAACGTCAACATTTTCACAAAATAAGTTCCCGTTTTTATAACTCGTAGCCATTTTGCGGGTTCCTATTCACTAATCTCTTTAAAAAAGAATAAATTAAGAAAACTGTTTAATTGACTATATTGTATATAGCAAAGTTTTCAACAACTTTTGTAAAAGTATAGTTAGTCTACGCATAGTCCGTCCCAAACTGTGCAGAAAACTGCTGAACATTGCCTTTTAAGGTTTGTTTGTAGATAATAAATCACAGACAGAGATAATAAGCAGATAAATATCAAATGTGCATTCACATTTCATAATGGCTTCAACTTAGAGTTGATTTTTTTCAGCAACATTTAAACACATATGAAAAAAACTTCGTTAACAAGTTCATCATTTTTGTGTTTAGTAACACACGACTTTGAATTGTGAGAAGTGCAATATTTCTACGTGTTTTATATTTTATGGCAATAATTATCTCGGATTATAGAGGGCGTTCTTTCAGTAGAGCTTCTTAGTGAGAGAATAATCGTATTATTAGAGAGAAAATTATATTTAATAAAGTTAAATGTATATTTTGATAGCCACATCCAGATAATCAAGAGCTGGAAAACTTTATGAATTAAAATTGTGGGTAGAATAAGGATATTACTGTCCCTGCTACATCTAGAAGTAGGTATAGCAGGTTATTAGTATCCCTGCTACATCTAGAAGTAGGTAAAGCAGGTTATTAGTATCCCTGCTACATCTAGAACTAGGTCAAGTCTAAATATGAGAAACCAACAAATTTTAAAACCTAAATCTAGTGTTCATATCTGTCTGTATCTCACTATATCAAGTCAAAATATGAGAAACCAACAAATTTTAAAACCTAAATCTAGTGCCTGTATCTCGCTCTCTCACGATATCAAGTCTAAATATGAGAAACCAACAAATTTTAAAACCTAAATCTAGTGTTCATATCTGTATATCGTGAGAGAGCGAGATACAGGCACTAGATTTAGGTTTTAAAATTTGTTGGTTTCTCATATTTTGACTTGATATCGTGAGAGAGACAGATACAGGCACTAGATTTAGGTTTTAAAATTTGTTGGTTTCTCATATTTTGACTTGATATCGTGAGAGAGACAGATACAGGCACTAGATTTAGGTTTTAAAATTTGTTGGTTTCT